ATCTCCTCCTCTTGTTTTGAAGTGACGACTGATCAATAAAACCCCTTTGCTTCACCTGACAACAGCTTATTGCATTCTTTAAATGTTTGATCCAAGTCTTGGTCTCATTGGACATTTAACAGACAGTATTAACAGAAACGAGGAAAAAAAAATACCCACCTATAGACAACAAAATAATCCCATAAATTAAACAAAAGCTCTAATCATAAAACCAACCCTGGAACCTGATTTATAGTGTACTGTGTTCTATAGAGATGATCTGGCATGCACTTTCTAACAAAAGTAATCAAATAAAGCTGCCACAACTTCTAATAGTTTGCTCTGTACCAGTGCCTTTATAAAGAAAAATGTAGGAGTCTCTAATTGTTTGTACTTCCCTGAAAGCACTAATGCTATAGCAGATATTTTTCAAGCAGCAACTTAAGAAGGTTAAAAATGAAGCTAAAGCTTAAGTGCGAAAAACTGCAGTAAATCAAGTAAATCAATCCCCAGAGTCCCATGTTAAAAAACAAAAAGAAACTACTACCTTGGTCTCTATAGATAGTGTCCCCTCTCTGAATGTGATCACCTTTTTAATTTTTATAATTCAGCTGGACAGTGGTAGTGGCAGCTTTGACTGTCGGGTGTTCTGACAAAGGTAGCTAGAGCCTAGTGTGGAATTATAGAATTACAAATGATATTGCGGCGTGAGTGGTACAGGTTATCCAAGACGTTTGCGCATGAGTTTTGTGAGTCATTTAATATTTATTTGTCTATTTTTTAGCACTAAATGTTCGATATTTGTGTGTCTTACTTTGCATGTGTAAAAACTCTCAATGCCACTTGCTAACTACAGTGGCTAGTGTTAGCTAATGACTTAGCACTCTGCCTTTTTATCCAAGTGTAATCACCTCTGGTTCCAACTAACCAAACATGGTGACAATAAATATGCTAATGTTAAAGCTTAAAGTTACAGTGTGTACAATTGCAGCTTGCAGTCAACTGAATTCTGTTTTCTCATCCCTCCTAATTCAAGTGACAATTCGAGTGACTATTTGTTCCGGAGGAAACTGTAAAACTTTCTGAAAGGAGTCCAATATGTCAGTCTAAAGTAAAGTTTACTTTTGTCTGATGACAAGGACACTGACGTCAGTTGTTGAGGATATCGTAAACCTTTCTGCTGGTAAGTGTTGCTGTTTTGTTGCTGTTAGCTGCTGTTAGCCTGTGTTAGCTGCTGTTAGCCAGCAGCTAACACAGCTAACAAACTTTATTTAAAGTGGCTCTCGGCTAGGTCTTGGAAAAAAGGATTTAATCTCAGCGAGACTTTTAGCTGGATAAATAAAGGATAAGAACATTGTTGGACTCAAACAATAAACTCTAATACGGGGTAAAAATCTAATCAAACAAGGTGAATTTTAGCATAATTTAGCATGTCTAACATTAGCTGGCATAACGCTAGCTTGTAACCAGCTGCGGAGCACAGATCCAACAGGTGATTTCACAAACCGCTATACCCAGACATGGGCAATGACAATAAAGTTGAATTCTATTCTATTCTATTTTCTAAGATATTCTTACAATGTGGACATGTGCCATACTGTCTTTTTTTTAGTACCATGCTGTTACTGAAGTCTTCTCTTTTTCCTGCATTTTGATAAAGTAACCTTTGTTTTGCTGGATATTCATAAGCTATCCTATCATTCATTTCCAGCCTGATCAGCTCACTTTTACTCATGATGACAGGGCAGCGCAGAGACATCCGCACTCAAGTATCATTGCAAACAATGATGTCACCCACCACGGTGCGTGCTCCGCAGGGATTCAGCGCAGTACTATAAATCAAGCTTTTCGACTGCAGGAGTTTGTCAAACTCAACAGAACTGGTCAGGATTATAATGCAGCTTCACAAGATTTTTCACGAGGCCGATGAGATGCAGACGGATGTTACTCTTTTCAAGCATAATTCATCATCGGCGCTGCAGTTCCCACAGAGTGGTTCATAATGTTTTATTCTTACAAAAAACAGAAAATCGATCTCCATCTGAGAAAATGTGTTGCTGTCATTCTAAATTTTTCTAAATCACTTTACAATCACAGGAGGAGATCTTGGTAAGAAAAAAAAAAAACAACACAGTATGGGAATCCAGATTTAGTCGGATCAAGAGCTCGACTTGTAAAGACAGTGCGAGACCATTGGACAAGTCGAGCGAAGTGAAGCATGCTGACAGAATAATCCTGTAGATCATTATCTGGTTCATCAACTATTTACATCACACTTTGATATCTTTGTGAGATTCCTCGTTGAACTAAGGAGAGGAAAAAGGCACTTGACAATAAGATGCTGCCAGTTTAGCTTTGAGGCTGGCTCCACCAAAAAAAGAAAGAAGAAAAAAAGCTAAATGTGTCCTCCCTGTAATGCAAACCAGCTCACCTGCAGTGATCCATATGCAGCGTGTGTCTGCCCCTGACCCCCCCTGCATTCAAATGCAAATCCTCTTGTTTGTCTGACTTTCCAATGATGCTCGGGGCATTTAAATTCCATTCTGTGCCGATGTAGTAAGCAGTGAGGTCCCTGTCAAGGTGAGTCACAGCAACAACAACGGCGGCAAAATAAAAGGTGACGAGCTCACCTCGCATCAAACAAAAATCTATTCAGGAAAACATGGAACACCAGTGTTGCCTCCTCTTCCCCCACTTTTCCCAGTTTGGCACCTGCTTCTCTGACGCCTCGGGGGGACGGAGTCAGTGATCTTCGCCCCGGGTGAGACGCTGTTTCAATGCAGACAGCTCATCAAGGTGAGTGACAAGTGTTGGGGCGGGAACATGAGATTCACTTTGGTGTCTGGAGGTGAAAAGATGCATACCGAGTCTTTCAACTTGATTTTTTTTCCTGGTTAGAACTGCCAGGTTATGATCAACAAGAAGCTTTGAAGCAGTTGCTTCTGTTCGTCGACGTCAAAAGCCCATGAGTCAACAAAATAACTGCTGGAATGATATCTTACTTTCTACTTTACACCACATCCCGCTGGATTAAAAGTCTAGCTTTTTGTGTTGGAGGCGGGGATATTTTCTTTTAACAAATTATACAAAATTGAAGCCAAACAGGAGGTTTGATGAGTGCTCCAGTCTTCACTGCAACTCAGACTTTACTTTCAAAACAAGAGTCCAAGCACACAGTGAGCTCCATCAAGTACTTGGACAGGGACACATTGTTTGCTCTCTTGGCTCCATACTCTTATTGCTTTGGACCGAAGCCAGCTTACATGCCAGTTTTACTTTGGTGGGATTCTCAGTTATACTGAAGAAACAGATTGAGTGGACGTTAAACAAAGTTTACGTCCGCGGCCCTCTGGCAGACACAAAATTTTACGAGTCGTGCATCGAAATCCAAACGAGAACAATTCATCATGTGAAATAAAGCCCTACTGAAAAGAAGAGGAATTATTAACCCAGTCTTTCTGGAACTTGTTCTGCAGTGTTTATAAACCGCCACACAGTTTTGGATTTTTACCAGCTGCAATTTTGCAATTTTGCAAGTAGAAATCAAAAGACAAACAGCAATGAGCTCAAACAAATGCTGCCTCTGTGCAGTAAGAACATGTAAAACTTCAGTGAAACATAAAATCAAAAAAGACTGAATGGAAAAAAACAAAAGCATTATTCGTCCTTTTATCAAAAGCTGAAATTTGGATTTGAAGCTGAACAAAAGTTATTTAGGTTTATACGCAACATCAAACTCTTTCCTGTTTGCTAACTTGACTGAGCTCAACTTCATATGAATGTGGTCATTTACTGGGATACGAGTTTGTAAAGGAGGCTAATGCAGCAAAGACACAAAAAGACCCACAGACATAACTGCTCATTTCATCTGAACATATCGAACACCAAAGTCTGAACTTTTTTTGTGTCCACATCTTTCAGAATGTCACCAGACACTGGATGGTTACAGTTACAAAAACAGTAATAGAAAGAAAAGAACACAGTTTAGCTAACGGTTTAGTGCAGCGTACTTGAAATATTGTGCGATGTGCTCAAAAACTCCCACTCTGAACCCCCATGTTACACCCACACAGCTGTTTTCACTCACACTTGCCTGATTAGACTCTTTTCTCAAGACTGAGTGGGCACAAAGGAGCTCCACTTGATTGACTTCCCCCTCGAACTTCTGCTAATGTTGTTGGACCTTTTAAACCGAGACAACACACACACACACTTTCTCACAGCAGGTGTTTTACATGAACACGGAGAAAGCACACGTAGTACTAAAAATACCAACAATGACTCCCGTAAGACGCAGCAGCCAGCATGAGCAACAGGAAGTTGAAATGATATTTTTTTTATCATTTACACCTGAGCTCATCGTGCTGTGACAAAAGGCAACTGAGGTTGTGGTCGAATTGTCAAATATTGTCAAAACATAAAAAAGTGTTTGGCAGCCATAGCTGAGCTGGTTGAATGCAAAGGAAAAGAGCTTCAGTGCTACCTTTATTATTACCTGACTGTTTACAGGCCAAATATGAAGGTTATGCTACTTTACTAAAACTCTTCTTGTTGCTTTGCATGAAGTACTTTTTAGAAATCTTCTCTCACTTCATTTCATGGAAATTGTAACTTAGTTTACAGGGGGTTATGTTGTCATGTTGCTCGCTTCTGGGATCATAGTTAATGCCTTTTCCATGGGTAACCTGTGGTGTGTGGAAGACAATCAGTTCATCAAACTTGTCCGTACTAAGCCCAAAGGAAACGCAGTGAGCAGAGTTCATAAAGCACTGCAGCGACATGGATGGACTGGGATTCTGGAGGTCTCAGAGTGGGTCGGGTCAGAGATGTAATCTCATGTTTCTGTGTAACTTCTCTTGTGTATGTTTGACTTTTCTGAGCTGTTTTGTTTTGTGATATAAAACAAACAACAGCTCACAGCAGATGGCCCCGCCCCTCCCTGAGCCTGGTTCTGCTGGAAGTTTCTTCCTGTTAAACGGGAGTTTTTGCTTCCCACTGTCACCAAGTGCTTGCTTATAGTGGGTCAGCTGAATGTTGGGGTTTTCTCTGGATTATTGTAGGGTCTTTACTTTACAATATAAAGTGCCTCAAGGTAACTATTGTTGTGATTTGGCGCTATATACAAAAAATTTAGTCACCAATATAAAAAACAGCTAGGTTGGTTTCATGTTTTTCACAGTAACTTTCTAACTTTTGGAATAAATAAAGTCCATCTTATTTAGTTTTACTTAAGAGATGATCAAAGACTTAATAAAGGAAAAGCAAATTGATTCTTCAGCAGGAATAAGTTTTATTATTAATCTAATCATTTTATTGTTGTGATTGTTGTGGTATATAGTTTTAAACTCCATCTAGTAAAAAGGTTGGTTATTCACATTCATATAGCCTGCATGAAACAACGTGGTAAGAACACAGATGGCAAAATATCTAAGGAGGTATTTCCAGTATTTGATCTCTACCATAGAGGCGAACAATTCGGACAACTGCCAGCCTCCTAGAAAACACGCCTATAGTATCAAATCAAAATCTACGTTGCTTTGTTCTCAAGTTATCGCATTCACAAGATTTTCAGAAAGAAAAATCAGGTCCCGTGACTGAAACTGAAGCAGCTAAATGGAACTGAGTCATAATCATTAGTATTTGCGCGTGTGCTCAAACTACCGTTAAGTAAGATCTTTTTCACTTTAGTGACATCGCATATTTCTCAGCATTAGTCTGTACATTTTCACCACTATAACGCTCAGCATGAATAAGTGAAAACAACTATGAGGGTGCAAGTCGAGACTAAAACAAGTATTATCAAATGCTCACAGCACATTCACATCAAGCTCTCCAGTGTAACATCAAAGTCATTCAATTAATCATGGAGTCAAAGCGGCCGTTGCTGCTCACTGTACACTCATCCCTGAGGTATGTAAAAAAAAAAAAAGCCTCTAAAATCTTTACATGATCTCATTTTTATTTATCCTCTTCAACACTTTTCTTTTTGGAAAAGAATTAAATATTTAAATATGCTTCTCAAAAATACATTAAAAGTGCATCCCCGAAGTATTTTTTGCAACAGAGTTCACAAACATCTATTCACATAATGTGAACAGAATTAACTTAGAGAGTGAAGGTGAGTACACTGTAGCGTGGATCAGGCTGAAAGTCCCACACAGTATAAGACCAAGTCTGATCCTTTAGGGGGGATTTTCAGTCTTTGGCTTCCCAAGACTTACTTGAGCTGGGGCTTTGTTCCATGGTGATGAAGAAGAGACAGACTCCTGCAGTCAGCAGGAGATGCATGGATTCGTACAGTAATTTGGGTGAAAAGACACTCCATATGAAGAGATGATAGCGCAGAACAGTTACCAGCACTATGTAGGCTGCGGCTGGCACAGACCTCAGCAGGGCCAAACAGTAGCAACCATGGCCGACTGCAACCGGGCTCCTGTGGAGAGGAAAAGGATTCATCAGAGAGGAAGATGCACTGCAGAGAGCAAAGCAGGCGACTGTACTGTGGATAATAGTCAAAACTTCCTGTGTAGAAAAGTTTTGATGTAAGCCAAGGTCATCCGAAGTTGCTTTATGTTTGTCGTGATGAAGTTGACTCGCTAAAAATGCAGATTGCTCAGTGATTCATAGCAGAGGCCACAATTTCGCATTTTTTCCTTTACACATGTACCCAGGAGAAGACTCTGATCCAATTATCTTGGCACAGTAATGCGGATTGCTGGCAAATTCTGATAAAGAAGTTAATGACTCTAAAACCTGCAAGATGGGATGGCGCGAGGAGATTAGGAGACGATGATGATGTAAAGCCAAACACGCACAGATATACAAAAGACTCTGTCTGTAATACACTGAAACACATGCGCCGGTTTGCTAAGGGATCTTCTTCATTACAGCAGGCAGAGTCCCAGCTGAGGGGGAGGAACTTTAAGTCTTTTCACAAGACAGGAAGGCAAACCAAAGGAGTAGGTGACATGCTAGGTAGACCGGTTAGCAGATGGATAGATAGAAACACACGAGTGGATCAAAGACTGACCAATACTGATAATCACGTTTTACGACTCAGTGGATAACAGAGAAAATAAAAGGCTTGTGTGTATCATTGTTACTGCGCTTTCCTCAGTTGTAGAGGCAGAAATCATTTGAATAAACATTATTAAAATCTCCAAAAGCCACATCATGTTACTTAGTGGAAGCTAACATTTTCAGAAACTCAGTCTTTGTTTAGTAGAGTCTGAAGACGAAGTTCTTGGTGGAGGTGGAAGTGGTGGAGGTTGAAGAAAGCATACGTATGCAATGCATGCATACGTACGTGTACATGTACATAACATTATGTAATTTAATTTAATTTTTTAAAATTTTCTATTTTATCTATTTCATTACACGGGCATTTTGTCGTACCACGGGGAAGAAATATTGCCGTTAAGTGCCTTCGTAAGTTGAATTTTTCGTTAAATGGGGTCTTCGTAAGCCGGGGTTCCACTGTATTCTAGAGTCAAATGCGAGGCCATCTGTCTGACAGCTAAAGCTTGGCCCACAGTGGCTCATGCAACAGGACAATGACTCCAAGCACAGCAGCAAATCTACACCAGAATGGCTGAACAAGAAAAGAATCAAGGAGCTGCAAAGGTCCAGTCAAAGTTCGGACATCGACCTGATGAAACGCTGTGGTGAGAACTTAAGAGAGCTGTGTATAAATGTATGGCTGTAAAGAAGAGCGGCACAAAATCCCTCCACAGTGATGTCAGAGGCTGATAAAGTCATACAGGAAACAATTACTTTAAGTTACTGCTGCGAAAGGTGGTTCTACAAGCTACTGAATCATGGGGTGTAGTTAGTTTTCACATGTCTGCACAGGACATTTCTTTTTCCCATGATCGTTGAGTATTTGATGACACTGTAAAGATGGAAGTACCTGAATTTAGACATATTAACTATCACACTTTACTGCTGCAAAGTGTCGCTGCTGTGACCTCCTCTTGACTTGAGTTGATTACTTTTAATTGGAAACACTAGGTTTGTAACAAGATTAAAATATCCTTGGTGTCATGTAATTATTGCATAAAAAAGGTGCAGAAAACTTCATCGCTGTAGTGAACTGCAAAGCAGCTACAGGCATGTTAGCCAAGCATTCTAGTGGGAATACACGCACAGTTTACCTGAGTGTTTGCTTGCATTACATTTAGCGTTGGTGTAAACAGCATGTGTATCAATATAGCCCGAGTGACTGTAGCTTCAGTAGCCTGCATTATGCATGATATGCTAATTAGCCATGTGCTCTTGCTTCTTATGCTTTTAGCTACACCAGCCTGATAAAAGCTTTACACACAAAGCTTGTGATGGACTGATGACTGGTGAAACCCTGTGTGTACAGACACATTTCAAACATCTCCAAAGTGACATAAACCACTTCTTTGGAAGTGAAAACAGCTACCACGACACTTGAAAACACCCATTATTGTCATTCAATCCAAACTGCTGGCATGCTAGATAGACTACAGTACGCACAGCCTGTCAACACTGAACTAAAAACTACCCCTGGAAGCTCTAATGGATATTTCCAGGCACTATAGATAATAATATGAACATATTCCTGCTTTTTAACATCACAGTAAGAGGTTGAGATGATATATTTAAATATGTCTGGTTGCTTTTGCTGCCCTAATGGACTCGTTTTTAAAACTATGACTGACAAAGTCTCTCAGATAGAGAGAAATGAAATTGGTGCATGTCATGTCACAGTAAAGTAGAAATATAAAGCTGCATAAAAAAAATGGGGAAATAGAAAACTGAACGCCACCATTCTCTGTTTGTGTTTGCTGTTACGCCTACTTCCACAGAGTTGCTCATATCAAAACATCTTGGGGTCTATTTCTGTGTGCTGCCTCATAGGCGACCTCTAAGGTGGATCACGAGAACGCACAGACAGTCTGTGAAACCTGTGAACAATACCTATAAAAACTGACAGTTTACAAAATCGCTAAGGGTGTAACTAAGGCTCATTGTACTAATGCTGTGAGAAACTAACTGTAACTGTTACCCAAGTTAACATGTTTATCTGCTTCACTCTTGGTGGGTGCGTTGCTGAGAGTAAATCAGTGCCAAGTTTGAGGATTTTTTGGTAAATGGTTCTCATGTTTTGGCTAAAAGCTGCTCTCTGAGCAAAGCTGTGACCGTAGCCTGCTCCACTCTGTGTGCAAGGAAAGGGCCACAAATATATTTACAAGCATGTCTGTTTGGCTCCGTGTGTTAAACTCTAACCTAATTCTAACTTTACCCCTAATATCAGACCTAACCTTCAAAAAACACCTTCCTAACACTTCACTTTACAGTTTGTCTCGTTTTTAACTACAATCTATTTCAGTAAATCATTTCACCTTAAAGCTCACGAGCATGCAGATGCTGAGAGACTGACACTTGTCACTCTTGCAAAGTGTCTTAGAAATAAATCAGCATGAATGTGCCTTATGCTGAATGAATGAAATCTCACAGATTACAAAACCTACAGTGGATTAAGACAAAGAAAAACACACTGTGTGTAAATAATGATTTAGTTTGATGTCATTACTCAGCAGATGAGGACTTCCAGTACAAGCCTCGTGTTCCAGCTGCTGACGCTGCAGAGTGAATTTTAAACTAACTGAGATTATTTTAGCGCCATTAGTCAGAGTACCTCTGAGCACCTATTAGAGGTAAGTCTTTTGTGGATGAGTGATGACAAGCAGGAAAGTTTTTTGCACTGGAATGCAGTGTGTGATGTTTACCATCAGCTGGGCGGTGTTAACCCCCTCCAGAGGCTGCAGCGTTCATTACAGCCTACATATGAAATTGATGGGTTTCCCACTTGGCTATTCAGAGGATAAAACCACAGTGAACATGGCGAGGCTGCCAGGCACCAAATCCCATAACTGGCTGCAATTACGCCGTCGATCTAAATGGAATTTACCGCCTGCTTTCATTGCTCCAGTTTAGGTTCAAGTTTACAACCGATCAATGCAGGTGCTGCGTTTGAACGGGCTTTCTCAGAAGCAACGTTTTCAGGAGCTATTTTCAACTTACTGTAAATGCAATAATTACAACTAGACATCTCAGGTATCATGCTTTTATTGGATCACGTAAAGTAATTTTCCTTTGCTGCTGTGCGTGTGTTTGTGTGATACTCGACTGCAGGATAAAATCAGTTTATGTTGATATTTCCGACCTATTTAGAGCACTTAGGGTGAGATTCCCGTGGATGTATGACCAGATGTTCTCCAAAAACACTGTGATGGACACTACGTGGCTTTTTTGATGACACATCAGTACTAAACGAAAGGTCGAGACAAAACCGACCACAGTGCTGGACTACTGGATCACATTTTTCATTTTTATACCCCGCTGAAAGCAGCAAAAAGAAAAAAAAAAAACAATTCAGAAGGATGGAACTTTTTAATCAAAGACCGTCTCAACTACTGAAATGTTAAACACAGCTTATTCAAATGTGGGATCAAGGACTATTAAGCATATAAATCATGTATGGGTATTTTCACCCTCTACAGTCTAATTTCTATGCATTCTTTGTGCCAACAAAATTCACACGTTTTATTACATAAAGTAAGATTTCTTTATATCTCAAGGCAGCAGACTTGCATATATATCTCCGCTTTTTAGTTGCTGGCATTATAACATAGGAGGCAGGCTAAAACGATTCTTTTTACACAAACAGTATCTTTTGTCTGCATTAAAATAGCATTTTAGTTTTGGCTCTATCAGCAGGGCAGCTGCTGCCCAGCCACAGACCTCATCACTCAGCGCTGTGCAGAGGCCTCACGCTGAGAGGAAGCGGTAGTTATTGGCTGCTTTCACACACATACAGCAGCCCAGCTACTGGCCCCTCTCCAGTGGAGGTCTTCCGCAGGTTAAGCTGTTTACATGCATCTTTGATACCCTCCAAGGAACGCTCCTCGTTGCCACGAGTAAACTAATTAACATAGCATTTCTGCGCGCCAGCACTGTCCCACCCACAGGCTGAAAAAGTATGAAACAAACAAACAACAGTCAAAAGTAACTGTAATAGCGATGCTGGTGTGTGGCGGTGCTGGCACAGAGGGCACAAAAGACAGTGAGAGAGAGGAGTGTGTTTGAATTTGGTTATAACGCAGAGCGGCTGCGCCCAAAGCTTTGGCTGACATACCACAAGTGCCTCTCCATCAGTGACACCTACCAATGTTCCAAATGTTTTCTCATGAATGGATTACAAACTGGGCGTCGTTTCAAACGTTCGGTTATATAAAAAGTGATTACAACAATGTTTTTATGCAACCCAGCTGACAGTGGAAACTTCGATCATGTAGGACTTACGTATAGAATTGCTGTGCATGACTTTGGATTATGGAATCGAAACGACTACCAGCTCGTCACAGACGCTGGATGCTTCAACCATTTATCCTTTTCTTTTAGCTATTCAGGTTACGGTCATGCCACCAGGAGCACATACAAGATCGAGCAATCCTTGAAGCCAAGAAGGGGGGAGCCTGGTTATGCTGGTGGTTTCTTCCTGTTTAAAGGGAGTTTTTCTTTCCCACTGTTGCCAAGTGACTGCTTACAGGGGGACTGTTGGGGTTTTCACTCTAATATTTATGGTCTTTACTGTGACTGTTAGGGCTGTGCAATATAACCAAAATCTCATATCCCGATATGAGACATTTATCGTCCCGACAACGATATGCATCATAAAAATGTTACATTTTCTGTAAATTCTGTGAATCTCGGGCAACTCGACTTGGTTAAAGTGTTTTCAGCTGGGCGTGGTGTACCTGGAGTCGAGTGTTACATATGCTGAAACGGCCACAGTTTTCTTTGAGTATTTATTACACAGCGTGCTGCAGGGAAACGCCTGTTCTAAGGTTTATTTTTTAGCACATGACGGCTCTTTTTAGCTTCTCGTCCATAAACACTCTGCATTTCACTTGATTCAGTTTATTTTGAAAAATCTCAATATGATCTTCAACTTTATTGTGAAAAGTTTATGTGGAAAATTAACAACCGGACAGCGGAGCCACGCGATGGTTTTACCGTCGTTGTTGCTAACGACAACGCTTAAAAACAACCGCTTGTCCGTCCGTAGTGTGGTTATATTAAATATAAGACAAACAGTTCACACCAGGAAGGTTCCTGCAGTTCACTTCACTTTCATTTTATACACAAATCAATTAAAATGCAGTTACAATCATAATTACGCATAAAACAGTGATTTGTAAAATCCCCAAAAGCCATCCTGAGCTTGTAAACAGGGGTCGAGACATCACGATAAATATCATTTTTAATTCTGTATCCTAATACTAACATAAATCTTTAAAAGCACCTTGAAACTCCTAAAGTACAGTATAGAGATCCTAAAACAATACATCCAGACAGAGACACATGGGGAATAACAGTATAAATCCACTGGTGGGTGAATTTTAAATGGAAAGCTATGGAGAATATTTAAAACCCTGAGTGATGCGGGGTTTTAGGAGTGAACATTTTTTAGTAGCAGCTGTCTTAAGCTCTGAGCGAGATGCTGATTTTTGTAGTGCTCTCTAGCTCGTTCCAAACCTGCATACCTCCAGTCACACTAAAAGTTTGCAATTTTTTTTCTCTTTTGTGTGTTTACATAGCCAACCATTTACACACAGACATTCACAACTATGAAGAATTTTGAATTACCAGTTAATCTAGCCCCACTAACCACATCCCCTTAGACTGTGAAGCCAGAGTTCCTGGAGAACATGCAAACTCCACACTCCAGGACCTTCTTGCTGCGAGGCAATGATGCTAATCACCATGCTAATCCAAAAACCAGTGAATAGTGGGTTTTAACTTGAAACTTACCGGTCTCTCTCCGAGCTAAGGTAGCAGACGAGGTGACACGCCCAGAGCAGCGGGCCTGCATAAGTGCTGAGCGCTGTTAAGAAGATGGCAGGTGCTTCTATGTAGCTTTCCAGTCCAACGAATCCAACTGAAATGTCGACAGTGGCTATGTTGTTGGAATTCCCCTGCAGGTGCACAAAGAAATCTTCTTCAAATAATTTACATTATATACAGACAAAAATAAGTAAACAAAGAACTGTGGATGTGCTTCAGAGCTCTAAAGAACTGGTGCTTTGCTTTATCATCATTACTGTGAGTTTCTGGCCACTTCCCAGCAGCCCAGTTGTTTGTTTTCCAGTCTCTGGCCAGAGCAGCGCACACAGCTCTCGGTCTGGAGCTGGACTTAGTAGCACTCAGACTACTGTATGCACCAGCAAACACATTTTATTTCTTTATTTGACAAAAAAGAAAGAAAAACAAAACACAGATTTCTCCCTCATTTAACTTTGCACCCAATTTTGAGCTTCTCTGGAACAAGATAAATATGTCTGCAGTAAACTGAAAATATAAAACTTTTGTTGTACTTTCTTTTCATCTCAGCCTTTAGAAGATATCATCACTGCAATGCAATCAGGATTTATAGCCCCAATCTTGTGGAAGTGCAAAATACAGTTACAAGGACAAAAAGACTTTGTTCAAATGAAAAAATATATATTTATTTATTACAAAAAAAAGGGACACAACAAAAGTAATTGCTGTTCAAACTTATTAAGGTTTATAAAATCCCCCCAACACCACAGCATTCACACTTTTCCTGTAACTCAAGCCACTGACCTGCCCCACTGTGCACAACAAGTGATAATAACATTTTAAACGGACGCTGTTTGTTGTGGCAGGTAAAGAAAATGAAGCCCAGATATCAACAGTGTCTCTCCTCTTAAAAGCAAATGTGATGACGGTCCACAGACAAGAACAAGCATCAAGTCAGCATTTGTCTCCCTCCTGTAAGCACATCTCCGATCACAGAGGAGGAAAACACTAACAGCTGGCTCCATTTTAAACAAACAGCAGACACCAGTGAGCAGGTTGGAGACTGCATATGGATATTTTCTGCTTGCTGGAATCCTGCTGCGATCTTTCAAATGTCATTTGGCACCATCAACAAATGTCTCACTTAAGAAAAAAAACAAAAAGAACTGCAAGACGTGTTTTTTTATAGACAAGATTGATTCTCACAAGACAGTGTCGGAGAGTGTGGCTGGACTAATGCGGTTCCTTAATGGAGTCGATATCGAGGAGGAGCAGGCGGCACACTTTCACCCTTTCAAATTAAAAATGCTTACAGTGCGTGGTGAGTAGCAAGGTTTTGATCACCTGAATAAAAAATATGCGCTCTAAGTTGCTCTGTGTATTCAAGCCCACCTTTCAGTTCTGCTCTCTGATGAATCATGTTTTCCACAGAAGCAGAACTTGTCACTGCTCATGCGGCAACATTTGCACAAACTGGCTCATATCTGAAGAGTAAACATCGTCCTTGCTGCCTTGCTGACCATCTGGTTTTGGGGGACGGCGATAAATCCAGAGAAAAATCCGTCACTCCCAACGATTGAGACAGACGATATCACTTTATTTATTGTAATGCTAGTGATGTCTGCCGCTGATGTTACCTGGAATACTTCCCATAATCCTCTTGTGTTTTCTAGCATTTGAATGCCAAAAGAGATGGACTTTAGAAACAAAAGCTTTCTGCCAAAAATCATAACAAATCTTTGGAAAACACAACAAAGCAACTCTGTTTCAAGACCGTTAATGTGTTACAGTTCAGACTCGGTACACCGATCCTCTGTACTCACGGATTAGATTTTAATTGGACATAATTTTGGTTATTCTTCACATCAGCGAGCTTAACTTTTATACTGTACGTCGCTGCTTACACTTCCATTATGGTTACAGCTGCGCCGAGAACGTTTTTGCTCAAATGCCTGTAATTACATGCCTCGATGCTTAGATGGGAAAATTGTCTGGTGGCGGTCTATTCCCGAGCCCATCACAGCATTAATGACCCGAGGGGTGATGAGGGTGATTAAATTGTTAACCACGTGGAGGTTTGCTGTTGACAACAATGCACAGTCGCTAATCAAATATCTGCGGTAGGTGGAAGTCGAATCAAAAGGTAGGTTTTCCTCTCCAGCCTTTGAGGAAGAGGCATCGTACATCCTCGGGAAGCGGCCGGTCCGGTTGGCCTTCATGGTAGAGCTGGATGAAAGTAATATGATTTATACACAAACACTTCCTCTGCCCAGAACAGCACCTATTACAGTATCTAGCACTTTATCAGTGGCGATAGCTTCCGTAAATGTTGCTACACTCTGTGACAGGGCGTTAAATTAGATGTCTTTTACAATCAAGACACTTGCTGACTGTTTTGTTCTTCACTGTGCTTTCCTTTTGTATTTCTGGGAGGTGTGATTTTCGCACAGCGTCACACACGCATCTGAATTTCACTACTCAGCACAACAGTCAAAGTTAATTTGGAAAGGTGGGTAAGGTTTCTCAAGAAAACGTGTTTGGTGATACGCTCAAAGGAGACCTATTATGCTTTGTCTTATTTTCTTTTGTATATATAGCGCTCACATTAAACATGACCACAAATTTAGAGGAGGTCAAGCAATCCTTCGATCCAAGATCTCAGGCTTGGGATTGCTCAAGTGCTCTCTTCGTGATCTTAAGTGGGTTAAAAATGCTTGAGCTAACAAACTTGCAGACTAGCATTATGGACACTGTAGGCCCACATGTGGCAAACTCTGGGGCTAAAAAACAAACAAAGCCAAGGTACCAAATACTTCTAGTGGACACTTTATGTTGGCTCTAAAAGCAAGTCAATCCCAAAAAACTCCCATTTTAAAAACCTTAGGTAGAACAATGAATGAGATGATGCAGTAGAACAATTTGGATCTGGCAGGATTTGTGATCCCTGACTAGACTGGGATCCAGAGGAAACAGGCACATATTGTTCTGTTGGGAGAGACTTTTGGGGCGACGTGCTTGGTTTGTAACAATGTTTAGGCACAAAGTAATCGCATTAATCCAAGAATCCATGTTTTCACAACAGAGCTTTTCTTTTTTGTCTTTCGGCTGCTCCCTCTAGGGGTCTGCACAGCTGATCATCTACCTCCATTTCACCCTCTCCATAGCATCCACCTCTGTCACATCGACCCTCTGTATGTTCTTCTTCTGCAGGTCTTCCTCTTTCCCTCCTGCCTGGCAGCTCCATCTACAACATCCTTTATCCAGTATATCCACCGTCCCTTCACTGCACACGTCCAATCTGTCTCAGCCTTGCCTCTCTTTACTTTGTCTCCAAACCGCCCCCTTGGTACTAATTTCTAATCCTGACCATCTCAGTCATTCCCAAAGTCCTCACACCTCCAGCTCCACCTCCTGTATTTTTGTCAGTGCCACCATCTCCAAACAATACATCACAGCAGGTCTCACTACCATCTTGTAAACCTTTCCTTTCACTTGTCACTCTGCTTTAGTCACAAATCACCTCTGACACCCAATTCTTCGGCACACCTCTTGTGTCTGTGGCATTACGCGATTGACCCCAGGCATTTAAATTCCCCCACCTTTACTACCTCTGCTCCTTCATTGCTTCACTGTTACACGTTTCAAAGAAGAAAACCAACAAAACAAAATAAAGAGTTGAATGTTTGAGGAGTTCAAATTCATGCAGATTCTACAAGACTGAATGCAAATTATACTTGTGCAGTATAATTTGATTTAAAAAGAATCAACTTTAACCAGCTTACCTGAAAGTAAAAGAAGGCCTGACCAAACCAGTAGTGCATGATGGTAGTCTGGGCGGCATCATAGTGGAGTTTCTTCCAGATAAACTGAGCCATGAGCGTCTGGATCAGCAGGCAGCAGCAGAGGACTGGCAGGTTGTGAGCACGGAAGAGCAGCGAAACCAACAAAACCAAGCCACTGTAAATCTCCCATAATCCCCTGCTCTTCAGTTTGGCATCTGCTGTGATGATCTGGGATCGCAACAGGTCCTTGGTGCCTGAGAAGAGGATCCCCAAAATGAAGACGTAAACAAAGCGAGCTTCCACCGTGCCCCTAAAAAACAGAAAGATCAAACACTGAGTCTTTTGTTGCATGTGCAGGAAGCCTGAACTGAGTTTCTGTTAAACTTCTCATTCATCATTCAAGTAACTGTGGCGAGTGACTCTGGGATGTGTAACTATCCAAGTGTTTAGCAGTTAAAGATCAGGGGTTTGGGGGCAAGAGGAAAGGGAATGACTTAGATCTTATGTTGCAATAGGGTTTTTTTTAAAGTTCACCACTTTAATTAATTTCATATTCCTGTCTCTTGTTACACAGGATTCCTCACATTTCTGTGACTCATAACCCTCCCTTCATTCAGTATGCAGTATGTCAATGTAACATTAATTATTAAAGCTATGAGACTTGAAGACAGAACGAATCGCCGCAGGAAAACAGACTTCCTCGCCATCACGGTGTCTGTCGGGGTTCCCGCATCGCTATAATTTGATGCTATTAACATACTTTGAGTACATTTTAAGGTCATGTGACATTTAATCTAAATTGTCCTTGTTCGGTGGAGCACTGCTGCGTGTAAGAAGCAAGCATACTGATGTTGCTGTTAAACACACTACTCCTGAAATTGGCTTGGTTATTTCACGACAGCTGATTTGTAATGGTAAAACATTTCTCAGGAATAATTTTCATCTTTCTTTTGCCAGTAATGACAAGGAAAAGTCCAAACTCAGAGATGAACTATACGGGTTGCCACAGTTACAAAACTCCTACTACTGTATATCAGGTTGACTTTTTCCCTGGGTCCTCACTGTTATCATCAGATGATATGTACTTCTGCTTTAAACACACAGATATGTAGCACACAGTGGTGGTTACACAGGTACGTCCATATGTCTCTTATTTAAAATCTAATAATGGTGCGATGGTGGTGTGAAGGGCAGACTTTGAACTTTAATCATGGGGTTTAAGGAAAGTATTTCATTAACCGTTTGGAAAATAGAGCCATTTTTATGCACAGTAACTCATTTTCAGAGGCTTAAAAGTATTTGAAGTTTTGACTGACAAGCATTTAATGAAGGGAATGTGTGAGGTGAGGCCTGCTCCCTTCATCTTTCATGACAAATTAAGTAGATAAAAGATCTGGAGTTGATTCCAAGTGTTGAACTTCCATTTGGTAGCTGCAACATTCAATATTATATAATGAAATAAATATGTCAATGCACCAAATAAACTTTATGAGACTTTATGCCATGTCCTTAAAAAGAATGAATGCATTTGTCAGCTCACCAAAAGATTTTGAGTGCAGATTCTTTCCTTGGTTAAGAAAAACCATTCAGAAAAATCACAAAATCTAGCCAAAAACACACCAGAGAAGGTAGATGCATCACTGTCAAAGTTTGCAACTAAGATGCCTTCACAAAAAAGTGCAAACCACTGGTTACACTCAGGCAATCGTGGCTCAAGAGTTGGCAGTTCGTCTTGTAATTGGAAGGTTGCTGGTTCGAGCCCCGGCTCGGACAGTCTCGGTCATTGTGTCCTTGGGCAAGACACTTCACCTACTGGTGATGGCCATGGGGCCGATGGCGTGATATGGCGTGATTCTGTCAGTCTGCCCCAGGCAGCTGTGGCTACAACAGTAGCTGCCTCCACCAGTGAGTGAATGAATAGTGGTATTGTAAAGCGCTTTGAGGGTCTCGAAAAGCGCTATATAAATGCAATCCATTATTATTATTATTAAGAAGGCAAGATTAGGGTTTTCCAGAGAAAATGAAAAAATATGGAGAGATGAAACCATCAGTAAACTAGTGTTTATGCTATGCTGTCTGCTCAGATTCTGCAAAATGCTGTAAACCTGATAATGGGGGGCGACCATGGCGCTGGGGGTTGGGAAACGCAACCGGAAGGTTGCCGGTTCGATCCCCCGGGCTCTCTGTCCTGGTCGTTGTGTCCTTGGGCAAGACACCAAGACACTTTACCCTACCGCCTACTGGTGTTGGCCATGGGGCCGATGGCGCGATATGGCAGCCTCGCTTCTGTCAGTCTGCCCCAGGGCAGCTGTGGCTACAACTGTAGCTGCCTCCACCAGTGTGTGAATGTGAGAGAATGAATAGTGCTATTGTAAAGCGCTATATAAATCCAATCCATTATTATTATTATTATTAATGATCCAAAGCACACTGTAAAAGAACCCGAGTATTTCAAACCAAAGAAATGAATCTTTAAAAGCCAAGTTAGTAATCCGATTACAGCCCAATAGATCAAATTTTCAGATACAGGGAGTGCAGAATTATTAGGCAAGTTGTATTTTTGAGGAATAATTTTATTATTGAACAACAACCATGTTCTCAATGAACCCAAAAAACTCATTAATATCAAAGCTGAATGTTTTTGGAAGTAGTTTTTAGTTTGTTTTTAGTTTTAGCTATTTTAGGGGGATATCTGTGTGTGCAGGTGACTATTACTGTGCATAATTATTAGGCAACTTAACAAAAAACAAATATATACCCATTTCAATTATTTATTTTTACCAGTGAAACCAATATAACATCTCCACATTCACAAATATACATTTCTGACATTCAAAAACAAAACAAAAACAAATCAGCGACCAATATAGCCACCTTTCTTTGCAAGGACACTCAAAAGCCTGCCATCCATGGATTCTGTCAGTGTTTTGATCTGTTCACCATCAACATTGCGTGCAGCAGCAACCACAGCCTCCCAGACACTGTTCAGAGAGGTGTACTGTTTTCCCTCCTTGTAAATCTCACATTTGATGATGGACCACAGGTTCTCAATGGGGTTCAGATCAGGTGAACAAGGAGGCCATGTCATTAGTTTTTCTTCTTTTATACCCTTTCTTGCCAGCCACGCTGTGGAGTACTTGGACGCGTGTGATGGAGCATTGTCCTGCATGAAAATCATGTTTTTCTTGAAGGATGCAGACTTCTTCCTGTACCACTGCTTGAAGAAGGTGTCTTCCAGAAACTGGCAGTAGGACTGGGAGTTGAGCTTGACTCCATCCTCAACCCGAAAAGGCCCCACAAGCTCATCTTTGATGATACCAGCCCAAACCAGTACTCCACCTCCACCTTGCTGGCGTCTGAGTCGGACTGGAGCTCTCTGCCCTTTACCAATCCAGCCACGGGCCCATCCATCTGGCCCATCAAGACTCACTCTCATTTCATCAGTCCATAAAACCTTAGAAAAACCAGTCTTGAGATATTTCTTGGCCCAGTCTTGACGTTTCAGCTTGTGTGTCTTGTTCAGTGGTGGTCGTCTTTCAGCCTTTCTTACCTTGGCCATGTCTCTGAGTATTGCACACCTTGTGCTTTTGGGCACTCCAGTGATGTTGCAGCTCTGAAATATGGCCAAACTGGTGGCAAGTGGCATCTTGGCAGCTGCACGCTTGACTTTTCTCAGTTCATGGGCAGTTATTTTGCGCCTTGGTTTTTCCACACGCTTCTTGCGACCCTGTTGACTATTTTGAATGAAACGCTTGATTGTTCGATGATCACGCTTCAGAAGCTTTGCAATTTTGAGACTGCTGCATCCCTCTGCAAGATATCTCACTATTTTTGACTTTTCTGAGCCTGTCAAGTCCTTCTTTTGACCCATTTTGCCAAAGGAAAGGACGTTGCCTAATAATTATGCACACCTGATATAGGGTGTTGATGTCATTAGACCACACCCCTTCTCATTACAGAGATGCACATCACCTAATATGCTTAATTGGTAGTAGGCTTTCGAGCCTATACAGCTTGGAGTAAGACAACATGCATGAAGAGGATGATGTGGACAAAATACTCATTTGCCTAATAATTCTGCACTCCCTGTACTGAAGGCAAAACTGAAGGCAGTGAAGCCCACAAACAAGCTGACGGCAGCTAGAGTAAGGGCCTGACCGAGCATGAGCATTTGGTGAGGTTAACGGGTTCCAGACTGTCATCGACTCCAAAGGTTTTCCATCCAAACATTAAAAATCAATCCTTAACTTACGATACCGTAATCTTAGTGTACTAAGCAGGGCACCTATTACCTCCTAACTGTTAGGCCAATGTCAAAGAAACTTTGCATGAACAACTTCACGCGTATATTGATTTATTTATTATAAATTCCAATTCTTTGGCTTTTTCACATGAATTATGTTCATCTCATCATCGGTTTGCGTTTTTTCACAAGTCACCTTCGATATACATCGCACACATGTATGTTTAGAGTTCATTTGTCCAGTTAATTTGGAGCCACTGAAATTGCGGGACTGTGTATAAATGTGTGTAATTCCTAAACAGTTAAAACATTTGAGTCGTTGAATTAAATCTGAAAATCTGTCCTTTAATCAATTCTTGATTATTTGTGGTGCACAGAGACGATTCTCGATGACACCTTTTTATTTTTCATATTTCCCAGGGCCTGAAGTAAAGGTTTAGCCACCCTGTATGGTCAGATTGTTTTATTTTTGACTTGGTGCACTGGCGTAACTTTTTGGAAGCTCCTCTTGTACGGTTTTAGGATTGTTTATGGAGCCATGCTTATTTTTTTGACAGATGTTCTGGTTCTTCTGCACTTTTCTGATATTTAACTGAATCTATTCTGTCTCATAAATTAAGGCTTTTTTGATTTACCTTTCTAAATAAAAGCCTACATGCAGTTCTCTCAGACAGTTTTCTTTGTCTCTGATACCTCAACTTGACCTCCACCATTCCTGTTAAGTACCATTTCTTACTTGTATTATGAACTCAGGAACTTGCTACTTCAAAACAATTTTCTTTCTTTTTGTAGCTTTCTCCAGCTTTGTGGGCATCAATTATTTCAATTTTCAAAGTGCTAAGCAGCTTCAACGAGGAGTCCATGGCTGCTGATTGTTGGGAAATGGCAGAGAAAGTATTAAGAAAGGTATGAAATTTGTATCGTCTGACCTTTCCTGTTAGATATTGTGAAAAATATATACCACATACTTTGTTTTTGACATTTTCACTCAAAAAAACTTTATACCATGGACAAAATACACAAATCTTTTTCTATTTATCTTCTACTGACAGTCCTCTTTGTCCATT